ACCAGCTGACGCTTATGGAGAGTACTCGCCCCACGCGTAATCAGGAGTACTAGGATTTCAGGGTCATCACACAGCAGTTGAACATTTCGTCTGACCAGCTTACGCTTATAGAGAGTAGTGATGAACTTTGTTGTTATCAGCGGTGGCTAACTAGTATGTGCTTGCTTGGTATCTCGACTTGTAACTAGTCTTACTTGATTATGTTCAGATCAGATCACGTGACTCACATGGAGAGATTGCGGCGCAGCGTCTTAGGTTGCAATCTTCCGAGCTGCTTATTGGTCCCTGCACGTAAGTGTTGCCCAAGATGGTAACACCATCCCGCGAAAGAGGCAAGAGTGTTACAGGGGTGGCTAAAGCTGATACCTTGTATCTAATTGGTCGGCATGTAGGTGGTAAGGGGGTGGCTGAGGCTAATAGTAAGTGTGCCAGATGGAGTATATAGGGCGGGAGGACTCTCCTTCCCACGGCTGTGTTGTAGCACGAGGGTGCAGACTATTCTGCGAATATTTTGGTGTCTATTCCCGGACGGAGTTGTTGAGTAGTTACGAGAACAGGTTATCTTTTTATGCGGCTGCGGTTATTCCTGTAAGGTAGTGTTTTGTTACTGTTCATTTGCCTATGGGCGGAGTGTTAACGATGCAGTAGTATACGCAAACCCACAGAATATGGAGCAGGGTGCTGCTGTGCAGAAAGCATCTTTTGTATGGATGCTTCTTCGCGATTTGGCTGATGCCTATCCTCCTCGTCAGACTTTGTTGGAGTTGGATGTTTTCACTGCGGTTGCTCCTGTTGGCAGTGCGGTGTATGGGGTGAACACGTCTATGGTGTTAAGGCATGGGGACCATGTTGATTTGTGGTACATTGTAGTCGCATCCCCCACTCTTCTTACCAGCCAGGAATGGTCGACAGTCCTACGTGACATGGTGGAAGCCACCCAGATGTCTCGCGAAGATTCCTATTATGGTTTAGGCTGCTTGGATAAGCAGCAGCAGGAGGATCAGCTGAATGATGTGCAGAAAAAGATTGTTGAATTTGGGAATTCCCCGCAGTCGTACATTATGGGTTCGATGGACAGTGTTAGGGCTGTGCTTGCGAGTGTGCGCGCTTATAATGTGGGTGAGGCTTAGCAAAATCTTGAGACAGAAAAATTAATTTTTTTAACTTAAACGATAGAGCAAAGTTCTACGATTTCAACGGTGTATCTCTTATTCAAATGCGATAATATTGAAGCTACGAATGTGGGTGAGGGTAAGCGCAACCTTAAGGAAAAAAATTAATCTTTTTTTTTAGCTCAAATGATAGAGTTAAACGCTGTGATTTCAACGGTGCAACTCTTATTTAAATGCGATAAGCCGTTGTTAAGTTAGTAAGAAAAGAAGGTAGAAAAGTTAGTTTTTGCGTAGAACCGCGCTAGTCCTCACATTATTATACGAAGAAAGGGAGTCCCTATCCTATCCTCAATCCCTACACAGTATGCCAAACGGAATTATGGTCGAGAGGGAATTATGGTCGAGAGGGAATCATGGTCGGATAGCGCGTTTTACCACTACCCATCTGTCCTTACAGTTATACCACAGACATCAAACCTTTGTAGTTACTTATTGTTTTTATGGCTCGCGCTTTTGTTAGTAGGAAGCTTATTCTTAAAGCTTAGAATGAATAGGATAATAGGCCACTAAGGCTTGTAGTGCCAGAGTAGGTGGGTTAGTTCGGGTAGCTGTGTGGGTCCATTTATGCATAATTATATCTTATAGCGTTTGTTCTTATAGTATGACTGGTGGAATTTAAGACGGACTAATTAGAAGGATAAGGAGAGGAAGGACAGAGTACCGAGATTGAACAAGAGCAATACGAAGAAGATGATAAAGCGTCCGAAGAAGAGAAATAATAAGAGAAGACATCTGATGGCCGCTTTGCTACTTGCCTGCAGTCTTGTGCGCCACGCTTGCGTAGTAGATCTACTATCTTATGACAATCGTAGGCTAAAGCTAGAGAAAGTATGCTGCTATAGCTTCCGGCTTTTGCGTTTATGTCGGCACCCCTGTCAAGTAACAGCTTTACTACTTCCTCACAGCCTTCGGCTGAAGCTGCGCAAAGTGCGTTGCCATAGTATCCGACTTCTGCGTTTATGTTGGCACCACTGTCAAGTAAAATCTTCACTACCTTCTCATGACCTCTGGCTGAAGCAAAAATGAGAGCATTGCCGTCTTCCTCTTTTGCTTCTATGTTAGCACCTTTATCAAGCAGTAACTTAACTACGTCCTCATGACCTTCACTTGCTGCTGCTTTTAGCGGGGATCTGTCACGAGGATTGATGTTTGCTCCTCTTGCAAGCAGCAATCGAACAACAGGCTTATAGCAAACTGTCGTATTGCACGGTAAGTACAACTCGTTTCTAAAAGATATTAGAAGAGAATAGATATCATAGCTCAAGGCTACTATCCCGAGAATATCTTTTCTTCTGACCTGTCGTTGCGTTTCTTGTGTTGGGGAGTGTCTGTGACGTCCCGTCACGCAGGGTGTCCCGCTACCCAGGGACCGACGTTAAGACGTACTGATCACTAAGTACGTCACGTGATTGCGGCACGGTTTGAAGAATTGTGGTGCGGCATCTCAAGCGGCATCCTTCAAATTGCTTACCGATGGGCTGTGCTGCAGTCTGCTCAGCTCCTCGGTAGCGCCAAGGAATAGTGATCGCTAAGCACGTAACGTAAGTGGGGCGTGGTTAGAAGGATTGCGGCGCAGCGTTTCGGGTCACATCCTTCGTTCGGCAAAGGTTATTTGACCTAATCACTGATAACCATTGCCCCTTCATTCTACTTACTGGCTGTAAGCGTAATTAAGAGTGTAAGCATCCAGGGTCATGTAGCAGCAGAATTTCTAGCGTAATTCTGGCTCTTACATACCAAGCTCTCCCATGATACTGCAGAGACCTAACGCTAAGCCTAATAGAGTTTAGTTTTGGAATCGGGGGCATTCCAGAACCGAATACTTGAGTAGAATTGCCTATATGTATCGTTGCAAGGTTATTGACTATAGATAGGGTATAGAGCAGGAACAAAGCTGAAGCAAAGTCGAAGTACCTGTTGTTCTTATCGCGACGCAGGGGTCTTTCGGTACGCAGGGGAGGTTACTAGGTTATATTCCGCACATAACAAGTTCTATACACAACGTGCTTTTACTTGAGCCTGTCTTCCATGAGCACGCCTAGTATCTTAATGTGGCCCTCGGGCGAAACGCTCTGCCCCTTTATCATAAAGGGTTCAGTGGCACTCTTATACGTCGTGCGAGTAAAGTGGATAACGGCCATCTTTTATGCTTCAAACGTCTCTCAATTGATTTTGCTTTTGGGAATGCTAGGCGACGCTCTAGGTATAGTAGTTTTGCCCTCACTCTAATATCCCAGATAATAGCCTAGGTGGTGATGAGAAAATTTCTCCGTCATAGATGGATCAGCAAAATTCGCCATGAGAAGTCAGCGTATTCAGCCCCTCTTTGTCATCTATAAGAAATATTTGGGTGACTTTCCTCTCAGTTAGTAATATGGCTTTTGCTTCTGGTACTTTCTATTAGTCTTTTCCCTATCATTATAACAGCGTGAGGAACACCCACATGTATCTGTTATTACAAAAACACCAAGGCTTCTCAAAATGCCGCCTAATACGAAGCGTTACGAGGGTCGCACTTTCCGTCGTCGATACGTGGGTGCATTTCTTTTCTTGCTGGCTTCCATATTGATTGGTATGTCTCCATTGTTCATTGCTTCAGTCCACAGCTCCTAATCACCCCATTGCAGGTCTGGTCGCGAGCACCGACGGTCCTGAACCGTCCGTTGAAGCCTACTATAGCTCACTTGAATCACGTCTCGGATACTGGCTCCTCCTCGGTAATGTAAGGCATTGTGGATTGTATGCGAAAGGACAGCTGTCACCTTTTCCCATATCCAAAGCTCAGCGAGCTATGGAGAATAAATTGTACAGGAGGTTGGGCCTAAAGCCAGGTAAAAGAGTCCTCGATGCTGGTGCCGGCTCGGGATACGTCGCTATGACCATGGCGAGACGCGGCCTCGATGTACAGGCTATCGACATTACGCCGCACCACATCGCTGATGCAAAGAAGAATATTGAGAAATACGGCCTACAGGACAGGATCAAAGTCGACTATGCCAACTACCATAACCTAAGCCAGTTTCCCGATGCATCGTTTGATGGAATTTACACCATGGAGACTTTTGTCCATGCGGATGACCCGATCCGAGTTCTCAACAATTTCAAGCGACTCCTCAAGACAGGCGGTGTCCTGGTTCTACACGAAGCTCATATCAGTCGTGATTCGGGAAAACTGCATGATGTGTTGCGACTTTCTCACTGTCAAAACACACTTCCAGAGGGTGCTTACGAAGAGCTCGTGAAAACGGCAGGATTCAAAGACTTTTCCCTCGAAGACCTGACTGATGAGGTGCTGCCTATGTGGAGACTCTTTGGTTTGTTATGCTACGTGCCTTATCAGATATTCAAACTGTTTGGGATACAAGACCGTTTTATCAATGTAATGGCTGGCGCGGACACGTGGTTGAATTGGGGAGATCGACGCTACATTTCAGTAAGAGCTGTGAAACCTTGACGCGCTGTACTGATACCCCGGCGCTTGCCTCACTCGTATCTTGAAATGAGAAAGTGCAGCCGTGCATAAACGCTAATGCTGAAATATTAACATTTAACTTGATTGATATACATATTCAACGTATCCTACCTGTTGTGTATAGTTCGAAACTTGTCTGGCACCTAAAGAAATACAAGATTTCTGGTCAATTGACAAATCGGCCGATTGTTCTTGTGGATCTTTTTAACAAGATGCGTCGCAGTATACTATTAAAGTATTCGATTTTGGGGACTATGCTGACACTAAAGATAACTACTAACTAGGTATTAATGCACTAATGCAGACCCGTGATTCGTGGTGGGACGTATACTAATTTTTGCCCTTGCCACACTGGGAGTTTTCCTCGTGTTTCTTGCTCTGCACAGTGAAAATCCCGGAATTCGCGGTCTCAGTGGCTGAGTAGCTAGTTAGTCTGTAGGATGATTGCTGCGCAGCGCTTCAGCTGCGATCCTCTAAACTGCTTACTGGTTCTTGCGTAGAAGTGCTTTCAGCGACCGTATGTAACATGGCGTGTATACATATACATACAGTAATTCTAGCCTACTGTATCTCGCGTATAAATGTCTTACTAACAAGTAGTGGATGGCAGAGTGGTACCCGGAAAGCGTTCAAGAAATGGCTTTCATTACAACCAACTGATACTCATTTTGCACATTTACAGAAGTTGGGGTAGTTAGGCAAAAAAGAACCAACAAGACTCGGTCCACCAAGTTCTTCGCTGAATAGGGACGTAAATAACCACTTTAGTTATAATCACTCTCACAATTAGACCGCTGATATCGTATGACTTTGTTTATCGCCCGGTCCTCTAGGTCGTCTCTCTTTCGCTTGTTTGATATACCTCTTTCCATCAATGTCTCAATGGTCTCTGCGCGTGTTTTTAGTTCATCTACGGCGTCAAAATGTTCATCTCTAGGTTTGACGCCTGCATTGAGCAGACATTCTACCATCTCGAGCGAGCCAGCTTTTACGGTAAAAATCAATGCGTCTTCAACTTCCTCTTCTTCTTCAGCATCATCCAGTTCATACGAGCGAGAGTATGTATAGGCAGAGTAGTTGAATTCATTGCCAAGTGATATTAACTCTTCGATGGTACGTTTCTGGTCCCATTCGTAACTGGGTTCTGTCATTGTTGCAGTCTTGAGCATATCAAAGAACTCGTACTTTTGAATATCTTTCTTTATCTTTTTCTTCATTCGATCGTCGCTTAGTAAGTGTTTAGCCTGAAGCCATTTCTTGCGCAATATGCAGCCTATTAAGAGGTTTACCCTCCATAACTTGCCATCCAGGTACTTAGCTAGTACTTTTGCAGCTCTCATATGGTTAAGTTCCACAGAGATGGTCAATACAATTCTAACTGTTTCAAGCCATTCTGAACTTTTTTTGAGGACCTTGTTTCCAATACACGCCCTCATTATTTTTTTTGAGTTACAGAGAGATGCTTTGATCAGCTCAGTTCCTAACGAGAACTGTAGTTCATTGAGTTTTGTAGGGCGTGCCATTTTTGTGTGTTCTATAGGCGATATTGAATTACGAGCAGGGGAGACCAATGGTATGTACGCAAAGTTCCTATATAGCTAAGTATAGTTTGGGGCAGATAGTGCGATGGTCTGTGTATTGGTGAAGTTGGGATGTCGTTGCCTTTAGTATCGAAATATTAAATTATTGTATAAGCGCAATATTGGTCTAGTCGATGTCTTTGTATACTTTTGAGACATTGCGCCGCAACTCGTAAGCATAAACAGGAAGACATTTGACTAAGCGTATATTATGGGATTGACTTGCAGCTTCCGCTTCGCGCGTATTGTCTAGTTGTCCTCCAACGCGAGATACGGGCCTGCTCAGTATATATTACAATCTTCTTTCGTAGGTAGATACATACCTTCTTCAATCAATCCCTTCACAGCGATTACCTTTCAGCTTGATTATATCTACTCCCATTGCGGGTCACCCTCTGATCTTTTNTTCAGCTTGATTATATCTACTCCCATTGCGGGTCACCCTCTGATCTTTTGAGCTCGATCACGTATCGTGCCACAATATTTGACTAGAACAGGTTGAAATACATGGATGTCATGCATATATTCATTAGTCGAGGCGCTTCTGAATGAAAACCAGCCTATTGCATCGCTGACAGAAACTAGTACTATCTTGGCAAATTGATTGCTGAGCGAAAAGGATTAGGGTAAGATCAAAGGTCGCTTCCTTACAGGAACTAGAAGCTGAAATTGAGTGAGACTGTGTGTAGCTAGTTCTTACGTACGTTAAGTGATTCTATCTCAAATTTGAAAATCCATAATCGGTTAATTATTGATGGCTTTCTATGCCAAACTGCTGACGCCAAGACCAGAGGTACATAGTAGTTATGCAGATCGACCCCACAAGCGATCGCAGATGTCTTAGCAACAGATTTGCTGCGGCCATCTATGCACTTCGCGAATTCCTTCGTTGGTTTCAGTTTCTCGAAACCTTGTCTAGGAATAGTTACGCTCACATGGAACATAATGCTTAGTTCAACATTGTATGGTACGCCTATAACTATCAGCAAAAGATACCAATTATACCGCCAGTGTATTGGCCAAGCCCACTAATGCCGACCCCTGCTTATCGCGTGGTCTCGAATAATCTTTGCCTAGGATTAGAGCAAATTACCTAATTAGGACTAGTACTTGTAAAGCTAAAAAGCCTCTTCTTGGACTAGCGCTGAATCCAAAAACCTCTTATGGGACTAGCGCGGTTCTATGCAAAATCTCTCTTTCTACCTTCTTTTCTCAATAACTTTACAACCTGTCGGATAAGTGATAGAATCCGGGTGCTCGCGAGCACCCGGATTCTATGATCCCAGCCAATCAAGGCTGATCGCCAAGGCCTACCCTAGGCGAGGCTGATACTCAGCCGCGTACCTGATGCAAAAAGCAATAGCGACAGCGCTGATAAGGCGGCGCGCAGGCGCGCCGTTGGAGGGCGACACAGATCAGATCAATCAATTGAATCAGCTTCGATCAACTAATGATTACAGTACTTTATTACAGTGATTTATATTAGTCCTTGATCCAATACCATATACAGTCTGACACAACCACTTATCGCATTATCAAAATAACAGATTTACCGTTAAAATTGCAGAGCTTTACGCTATCGTTTGAGCTAATAAAAACCATTTTTCTCTTAAGATTTTACTTGCCCTCACCCACAGTCGTAGCTTCAAAAAAAAATTACCTACCTCCATAGCTACCAATGCATTCTAAGCTTCATGTCGGGGATTAAAGATAGGATATGATCTATCCGTGAACGTGACTTATGGGTGATGCAACACAGCCCTTAGTGACCAATCAATCATTTCCAATAGTCTGTTGAACAGTAATTTCATCTGTTCCCATTGCTCCAGCATTTCTTCTTGTTTTTCGCGATCCGAGTTCATGGATGCAAGCGAATGTTCCAGCTGGGGATTGGGGGTGTCTCGCCAATCTCCATCTCCCAAGGGGCCGTTTCCCGAAGAAAGAGGTGGCCATACACTGTTCTTATCCAAAGCAGAATGCCTCTGTTTCTCGAACTGTTTTCGTGATATACCCGTAAAGCGGCCAGTAGAGAGGTTAAGTTTGATACACCCCATACCTTCAGCAAGATCCTTATGCTTCATGACATGTTCTCTATACGCTTTCTTAGGTTGGAATATCAGGGCTGGTTCTTCCTTCGTGAACCATATACTCTTGAACATATTCTTGTCGGTCTCGAATTTAAACCACTGCATACATGCATGGTCTTCCCACTTATTAGTATTGCTATTGAATCTCACAACTGCTATCTCCGGATACTTCGATCCACAGTAAAGAAAATACTCGTGATTTGGGCCAACAAAACCGCCTATGCCACCGCTGTTGTTTTCGGAACTATTACCAACTATAATTTTTATACCATCAAAGTAAAATGCTCCGTCGTTGTAGAAACACACAATTTTCGTTTTCGAAACGCACGTATTTTCTAAAATATTGAAGTTGAATGCCGACATTATTGGATTGGGAACGATTAGTTTAGCAGCAACTTGTACCAGATTGCAGTATTGAATTCATAGGAAGTTTCACGTTGACTAATTATAGTAAAATAATTATAGCCATAGCTTATAGATAGAATAAACAGTCACCTTTTTCTCAGTAACCATCAAAATACCGCTATAATTATGCGTCACATGCTACTTAGAGTAGCTATGTTGTTGGTGAGCAACATCCGGGTGCTTAGGCCGACACCCGGATGTTACTCACCGCCCAAGCAGCGCTGGGACGACTCGCTCAGATATCCCGGCCTAACCTTTCTCCAATAAGGAAAAAACACGACGTAAGTGCATATATAGAGTAAACAGCTCTTGTTCTAATACAGCCGCTCGTATACCAAGCGTCTGCTCCACAGAGTGTAGCCCCTTACAGTCTGTGCATTTAAGCTAACTCCGAAGTCGCACACTGCTAACGCATTCAGTCTAAGCGTAATCCGGATTTTAATTATCATCATGGCAACTTCGGGTGAGATTGTTAAAATGCGAGGGCGAACAATGGCGAGCATCTATTTTTCATTTATATTCGCCGAACAATCGGTATTGACTTCTGTCTAACAGAGGAGTGCAGTGATTATGCAAGACTAATATGTTGAACATCAGGCACTGAAGGCTTTCGGCGGCAAAGAACGCTTGGCTATGGTGACAGCGTGGCGACCAAAGTCGCCGTTCATCACAGATCATACGGTGCTGGCT